CCCCCGGACCCCCCTAGAGGAGGTGAGGTCCCCCCCCCACTTAAATCATGTCCACATGGATAGGAAACTAAATACATTTGCACACATCTTGTGTCCATATCTTTCTGTTTTGGGGGTCATGCCACAACCGTGCACGTGCATGCATGCGCGAGTCATGGTAAGATATCTGGATTAAGACGAGGTTGCTTTTTCTTTGCACAGCATGAAAGAAAGGCGAAATGAATGGGCTGTGATTTTAGTATTTTTAAGCAGAGGTCAATCATTTGTACAGCCCTCGGAGGATGTTGAACAAATTGAAATGGCCCTTGAGAGGAAAAAGGTTCCCCACCCCTGCTATAAATAGTAAAACCAGAGTGACTGATCATTTTGCAGTGGTCTCTTTTTTTTCAGAGCTGTATGTGTTTTCTTTTCATTTAGGTGACTAAAAAAATGTGTTGTTGACATCCCCATGCCTAGCAGCACATGCTTTGATTCCTGACCCCACCTGTCTTCCAAACAGGGGCCGACTGACCACCATCTACTATAGGTAGTACACAAACTATGCATAAAGCCCCACTTCGAAACAACCTTTTACTGATGTGTCATTGAACTAACAGTATATATAAACCTGCAGAAATCTATGTTGATGCTTCTTGGTATAGAAGAAGGCCTGCAAACACAACATTGACATACAACTGTATCACTTTAGAGAGCTACGGCTTGCTCTAATAACTGAGGGAGTGAACCAAAGCATTAGATTATGAGAGGAACTGCAGAGCCATATCGTGAATGTTTTTTACAAGTGGCCCTTTTCACATATACAGTATTCATGTGATCCGATCTAAAGTCATTGATTATAGCAGCTCTTCTTCCAACATGTAGAAAGGCTTTGCCATCAAATAGTTAAAGACCCCTGAACTCCCTGTTACAATTCACTTTGAAATGCCTTTAGAGTAATGGTGATTTTAATCTACCTCTGAATATTTCATGTTTCATCAGCACACAAGCCATGAGCTACAGTAGGAAAGGAGAAATACGTAATGAATGTGACTGGGCCGGCCTGCTAGGACCACTGGGCACTATAAAAGTGATGCAGTCTTCATTCTGCACACAGTGTTAGACCATCGAGGCGAAGCTACATTTGATAGGAGACGCATGTTCTGAGTTATGACGGGGGTACAGACTTCCTATGATAAGAGGAGAGAGAGCAGGCTATCTTGGAGGCTGGGTTAGGGAAAGGAAAATGTAGGGAGGAAGCAAAGCAGTGAGAGATTGCAAGCTTTTGTGTACATGTGTGTGCTCATGCATATGTATATATGTGTGTATAGAGAGGCATAGCAGTTTGCCTTCAGGGATTACAACTATCGGGTTGGAAATAATGATCATTAGTGAAGCTAATCCACTCTAGGCCATTGAAACAGTGGCATATTACACTGGTCCAGTATTTTTCTACTATGTTGGAATAATTTAGCCATTGACTGAAGCCTTCAATTAAATCCCTGCACTTTTATAGCAGGGGTGTGAGGAAAAAATCACTCAGAGGGAAAGCACCTTTTTCCATCTAGGGTTAGTAGGCAGAAAAATAATCAAGCTGAATTATGTGGTTGAAGTTAACAATCCATTACTTATTCTGATTAGCCAATGTTATTTGAAGTAATCTGGATAGAGAATTGTTGTTAGATGTTGAGAGAAGTTGAATATATGAAACGTATTTCCTTCTACTCGCAGCCGGCTCCCTTTCTGACTGACAGTTTCAATAAAGTCTCTGTCTGTGTCTGTCACACAAAGTGTGTCATCATTTCTTGTGTCACATCACAAAATCAACAGCTCTTTTGAATTGACGATTTCCAATAAATAACAGGGCTCCAGCACATTTGTCCATGTGAAACAAGAAGCAGCATCCTAGGCAGTGAAGAAGGCAAATGTGAGAGAGACAAATCACTCAAAGATAAGGGTTCATATTGGTTCAGAAGCCTTCATACTACGGAAACAACTACGTAAAGGAAGATAAGGGATTTAAAGTTGAATCAGCTACTTTTGGACAGGTAATGTACTTGGTAATAATACAATCTGCAGCTGCTCTAATACATCACCCTTATCTGTGTGTGTGTGTGTGTGTGTGTGTGTGTGTGTGTGTGTGTGTGTGTGTGTGTGTGTGTGTGTGTGTGTGTGTGTGTGTGTGTGTGTGTGTGTGTGTGTATTGTGTTTGGATAACATTGTCTTTCAGTTGTAGAATTGGCAAGAATCTACTTCCTATCTTAAAAGTATTTCCATTAATAAATGATATACTGATATTAAATAAATCCACAGGTCTGCTGGGTATTGTGCAGACATGTTTCCAACTCTCCAGATACCTCATAGTTTCCTTTAGATCTCCCATCTCTTTCTTCTTCTTCTTTTTTCCCCTCTCAATTACACTCCTTCCATTTCATTCAGCTCAGTCATTATGTCAAGCATTATCTTTGTGCTGAGCTAAACATTTCCATACTGAACACAGTAACATATTTTTTAGGGGAGATCCCCAGACCCTAATGTCTACCCATCTCTCTTTTTTTTATGTCCTCTATTCCAATTCTCTCTTTGACTTCCTCCCAAGAGTCTTATGTACCAACTTGTGTTATAACCAACAAGGACCCAGAATTGTATTTCACTGAGCTTGTCACTTTAGAGGATATTAGGACAACACTATAAGATATGCGTGGTTGCTTTGAAGGTCGGTACTTTTGCAGCTATTTCTTTAACCTTTGTTTTTATACATTTTATTACTGATGCTGAAAAAGTAAAATAAGAAACATTTTCCTTAAGTCTAACATCAAATCTGCAAGTATGTTAAAGAGGGACAATGTGTAAAGTTTAGATTAAATAATTAAATGTATATAAATTGACTTATTTATTTCTATAAATTCTTGATGGATCAACTCTCTATTCTTAAAAATCTTTCTTTGTAGCCCCAACAGTAGCTGATGATTTCTAGTGGTGTAGCAGAACAAACCAAAATGTAATTCTTAACAGGACAAAATGCTAATGTTAGCCTAGCCTAAACAGCGGACCTGTTGTAAAATAGTTGTCATTGTGGTTATGAATCCTGTAACCACACAAACTAACGTAGTCAGATTATGAAAATGTTAAAAATAATGCTTGATTACTGATGTTAGTGGTAAGTTAGTAAGAATTGCAACTCACAGTGGCGCAGCTGAACACAACAGGGGCTTTAAAGAAATACAACAAACTGCATCTTACAAAATGCTTAGCATCAATTACTTAGGTATCACTATTAATATAAACTAATCTACACACATGAGGGGAAATCCAAAGCTTGCCTGACCAGCCGGGCATAGCAAATCCTTTGGCATTGTTTTCAAAAAACACATTTTGGTTTAACAAACATAAATGTCAAAACACTCGGTTACCATGCTCAGATCAAATGCATGGCTTACACCAGACTAGTTAAAAGGTAAATGTCGCATATAAACACGTTTCTCCTTTTACATATGCTTTACAAACACTTGTGTTAACCCATATTTCCAGGGCATGTGTAGTGTCAACAGAGGGAATGACAGTAAGACAAACTGCTGCTAGTCATCATTCATCATCAATTTATAAAGGAATATATAGTTTGTATGCTTTCCTAGCAGAGCATTCTATGTGTTTAACCCATTATTCATGAGATACATGGGAGCACAGTTATTGGGTGTGAAAGGTGCTTGTAAACAATCTGAATCAGACCGTAACCACTGATAGCCAATGTCCTGGTTTTACCATGCATGTAATAGAAAGCAATAGGCGCTTTCACACCGGAGTACTTTTCCCAGTATAGTTCCGATAGTTCTTGAAATGTTGCGTTCACACCAAAAAAATCCGGAACTAGAACTTAGTTCATGAGAACCTTTTCACCCCCGTTTTAGTCCCTGCTAGAGAGCAGGTACTTTCATGGGAGGAAAAGGTTCCCATTTCTGATTGGTTGGGCGGATTGCAAACCACGCCCCGTAAAACTCGGAAAGGTTTTGTGAAGCCAGTCCCCAACTCCGGGGACTTCCGGCCGGGGACTTCGGGTGGTATACACCGTGAAGTGGTTTGCGGCCTGCCAGTAAACCCAAAGCAGAAGAAGAAGAAGTGACGTCAGCGGCTTCATTTGCCTAATCCTCCCTCAGGGACTTATTCCGGTGTGAACGCGATCTGCTCTTTAGTTCATCAGAACTAAAGAGTTCTGATGAACTAAGTACGGCAAAGTACTTGGTGTGAAAGCGCCTATTGATACCAGACTGGGGGAAGACTAAAGACATTTGCTGAATGTGTGTTTGTCCCTCCCAGCTCTTTATTGTGCCTCATGCCTGCTCTCCTCTCACATCTGTTGGTATTTACAGAGTAAATTATTTCAGAGTTTGTACAAAAGCCAGTCAGCTTATCAACAGCTTGCATTCAGCCAAACACCCACACTCACGTCTGGTTTCAGAAAAGAGGATAAGATCAATTGTCTGACTAAAATAAACTATATTTCCTCTGCCCTTTTCTCCCTTTCTGTTATAGGGGAAATTGTTTCGTTAGGCAGACAACCCTGAGGGCACCCACCACAGCAGGCACCTCAAACAGGCACTAATGTTCTTTTATCATAGAGGCAAGCAGCAACTTCTAACTGATAGCATCAATTCAGCCTTTATGAAATGCAAAGCCAATCCGTCTCCAAATAACACTTACATTACACACAGTCTTGTTACAAAATCCTTTAGTGATCCTAATCCTTTAGTGATCCTAAATCTTCAGCTTTTTTTCCATATGCTGAACATATGCAACATTTTACAGAGATGGATCAAAGTGAATTCTGTATGAACTACAGTTTCTCATGAATAACTTGGCCGTGTAAAAAGGAAACAATCAGGGAACAAAATAGGAACTACATGAACACTGTTGCTGAGATGGAAACAATAAATGTGTCAGAGAAAAAGTGCACAGGTGGGAATGAAAAGGAGAACCTGCACTCAAACACAATAAGCACCTGATCTAAAAAAGGCACACACACTGACCTCGTAGGAGTCGATGGCCTCGCGGTCCAGTGAGCGGCTGACTGACACGTCTCCTGTGTCTATGTCAATGGTGAAGAGACCTCTGGGATCCTGGTCAGCGCCGGGGCCTGTCAGACGGAAGATATGGTTCCCTAACTTCTCTGTTGAAATCACCTGCAGACACACAAACACACACACACGCAAAGACATCAACAACTTGAACAATTGTAAGCTTTTCCCTTTTAATTTGGAGTGAGTCTTTTTCCAGAGGCAAAGACATTGGTGAATTACTGCTTCCTTTCTAGGCACAGTACGGAGAAATACGTATTATTAGAGTTTGTTGACATACATTTTGAATAGGAGCTTACTGCGCCTTGAATGGTGATGAAAATCCCCCATAGCTAGTAATTAAAAATGCATATCAGACAAGACTTTGATTCGATGTCATCAGTTGGCAAGAAAGTTAGCATCATCTCTGAGCAGAGGAGTCCTGCTGTGACCACTTGTAAATTCATGGTAGTATTCCTAGCAGATAAGACAAGTTGAACAGTTAAATAAATATAAAATCCATCCATATATAATTTAGAGTGAACATTTTGTAGATGAGCGTTTTTGGCATAGGGCATTTGAGGAAGATTTAAAACCATATTCTGTCAAATTGCTTCATAAAGTTGTGTTTTTGAGCAGTGCTGCCAAGTAAGTTGGTTTACAATCATTCTGTCTTTATGGATAGATTTACTCACATGAGACTGCCGTAGCCAGCAGCATCCACGGATAACCCAGCAACAGGAACAGGCAGGTTAAAAAAAGAAACACAGAGAAAACACAGCATGTTAGAATCACATAGCACCAGAGAACAGAAACAAGAGTCCAATACCTTACTGATCTTTGCAGATCCTCAGGTCAGGGTAGATGTAATAGAAGGAAACATAATATACCAAAATTGGCAAAACTTTGGCAGACTTTACAAAGTTTGTACCTAGGAATATATGAGTTGAAGGAATACTAATATCGCATTAGGATAGTTGTGTTTCAGGATTATAACCAACTCAGCTGTCTGGTGGAAGATGAGCAAAGGCAGGAGTTGCAGAACAATATTTTGTTTTGGCAGTTCAACTGGTTTACATTGCATATATGCAGTTAAACTATTGAAGGGATAAGGTATCCATATAAGGTCAGCAAGCTTTCTTACTCTGACAAAGAGTGTTCAACTGCTGGTCAGGCTTCCAGTAATGGCTCCATCCATTCCCAAAACAAAGAGGCCGGTGAGAAGTATTGGATTATTAGTATTTAATATAATAACAGATTGGGTGCAATCCAATACCATATGCATTTGTTTGCCAAAAAAAGATATTTACTTAGTCTCAATATAGATACAATATTTTATATACAGTTTGCCACAAATACTAGGATGTCTTACTCCATTTGGTTGTATTTTGCATTGTGCTATCAAGCATGTTTTTCTGGCTATACTAACCCAAAATCCTTTGTGCAGGGGATATATAAGAAAAAGGGTCAACACTCAAGTTGCTAAGTTAGGAAAAAGTAGTATGTCCCAATTGTACTGCATGCAACAGTATGTACTTTGAAAGTAGTGTACTAAAAGTAAGAAGAGAATGTATGTGATTTGAAATGCAGCCAATGTCCATATATATATATATATATATATATATATATATATATATATATATATATATATTCTCAGCGTATGGACCTTTTCTCAGCACTTATGTTGACTTGGAAAAGCAAGTTAGTACAGGTGGATCTAAAATGTAGTGTCATGAATGGCCCCAATGAGATATATAAGTGAGGCAGCACAGACAACACAAGGACCTTTTCCTGCTGTGACATGTCAACAGTTCTGCAGGGAAACATTTCACAATTGAATTTTTTTTTTTACATTGGTTTAGTCCTACATAATTGTCTACATTTGGGCAGAGCTACGCTAGCAGTTTCTCCCTCTTCACACACCTAATGCTAGTTGTTGGCTTCAGCTACATATTAAATGTACATGTATGACAGAGGTATCCAAGTATGTGCAAAAAAAAGGAAATAAGCTTTAAGGTTTTTGATGTTGTTACACAGTCCCCTCTTCTAGATGTTAATAACCTTAAAATATATGTTTCAATCAAGTCCAGCGCTCTGGCTTACGGAGATGCCACTGACAACAATGTGTCCCTGTCTACAGGTAAATACACACAGAGCCACATAAACACACACACGGTTGTCAGAATTGTAACATCCTTCTGGGCCTCTCCACTGACACCGAGTGCCAGGGTTGTAAACGGATCTCCTGCCCTGCGCCTCGTGATCAGACGGCTGCCACCAGGTCACCTTTAATGAGAGCACGCTTCTATGGGATGGCAGCTAAAATGACGGCTTTTCTACTCCTCACTTAAAAGAGCATATGGAGATGAATCTGTGGTGTTACAACCCGATGCCAGACGGAGCTCAAGCCCTTAAAGCCTCTCCAAAGCTATGTGCCATTTATCTCCATGTCCCGCTTCATCTTTTCCCGCTGTTCCATCTCGCTCTCGGGTGGCTTGCTCCACCGCTTGTTACTTTCTCTAAGATGTCCATCCTTGTTCTTCTGCTAAGCATCCTCATTCCCCATTCATCATTTTCCACTTCTCTGTACTGCATCCTCTCACGCTCACTCCCTCTGCTCTTCATGTTTGCCGTAGCAAGAGATGGGAGCGAGTAATGTCAAACGTGTAACACAAACAGTAGTTCTCCTCTTATTATCCAACCAGGCATGAGCAAGTGAGGAGATCATTCGTTCAGTGGTTTTCTTATGCATCCAAAGCTAATCTTGCATACCGCTGGACCCATCAGTCTGAAGTTTGTTGTGCTCATTTATGACTGTTTGCTCAAGAGACTCTTGTTGTTGCCACTGATTAATATTGTCAATGAGTGCTCTTCCTAATCAGCTGGTTAAGTGATCGACTGCCTCAATAGCAAAATATATTTACAGCAAACAGCCAGACTGAAAAAAAGCATCCAGTCTATTGCATGGAGCTTTTTAGCATTTATCATGGCTTTAATTTGAGATCAATGGTAAAGTTTGGTCTCCTTTTAAAGCAGAAGCTCTCCATAAGAAGTCCATCCCTGATGAGGTTATGATCCACTAAAGTAAAGAAGAATAGAGTGGTGCAGAAAAGAGTGCTAAACCCTGGAAAAAATACGTAGCATTTATCTACTTCCAGTTCTGTATGTGTTTGGAAACCTGAAGTAATGTGGTTAACTCTAGCTGAAGAGATGTGAACGACATACAATAAGCCAGTACCTACCCCACTCGGGAATAGTCGTAGCTTCTATGTGTCATAAAAGATCAGTTGCTACCCAGTGATCGAATGAGACTACAAAATGTGATCACCTTGACATGAGTCCACCTTAAGCTTTGTGGTGGTGATGCGCAGCAATGCTACTGTGATGTAGTTAGTTTATAGCAATACGTTCGCTTTTTATTTCTGCCAATTGCATTTGACATAAAAAAAATCACAAAGTGGTGTTAATATGTGGAGATTATCCTGCTGAAGAAAATGTGTTAAGTATCAAAAACATGTTGGCCACAAAGCTTATTTTCTTCCATATACGGAAATCCAATGGAAAAATCCCATTGCTTTTTGTCAAGGGTCCCTTGCAATCCTAACTTGTAGGGTCTGGCCCTCAACAAATACATCATCACTGTACCACTCTACACAGGATTAATACACTCCTGTTATTGTCACATTCATCGCCATCTTGCCAGTGATCTGGATGAGATCTGTGCACCACTGACTGGAACTTATTCAGTTACGAGGTGTGTCAAATTCTAATATTTCTTTAGACGGGAGGACATCACCATGTATGTACACACAAATACACCTAGCACACAAACACACACACACACACACACACACACACACACACACACACACACACACACACACACACACACACACACACACACACACACACACACACACACACACACACACACACACACACACACACACACACACACACACACACACACACACACACTCTCGCAGTAGCTGCCATTCAGGACAGAGATATTTCTGAGCAGTAATCACAGTGGCAGCCAGCACCTGCTGAGAGTGACAAACTGGGTCAGATAAAGCACATAATTAAAAAAGAACGAGGTGCAACATCACTTGGATTCACAGATGGGTCTGCGTCAAACTCAATGGTTGGGGGGGAGGAAAAAACAAGAGCGGACCTACAGGGAGGATCCGGTATGAGAGAGAATGTGAGGGGAGGAAGTGTGAGAGAGGGAGAGATTGCTGATAAAGACACAACTTTAGCTGAAGATTAACTGAAGTGTCAAGAGAAGTTTAGTGTTTAAGAGACGTCTCACGTCTCTGTGGGAGAGCAGTGTGATCATATGCACCGCACGCACACACACACACACACACACACACAAACACACTCAGACCCATTGAGTATGTATCCCTCTGTGTGAGTGGGAAGACTGATGGGAGAATCTCACCTCTTTCCATCAGCTCTCATTACCAGCCGAGCAGACATGAAAGACTGTGCGGCTCGTGATACTGCGGTAAGGGTGACAGGAGGTGTGGCGCAGCTCGGAAACGCCAAGCACCTCGAGCACACACACAGAGAAACAACGAAACGGAGTGTGTATGTTTATGCGTGTCTGCTTGTGTGTGTGTGTTTAAGCTAGATAACATCTCCTGCCGTTTTTGTTCTTGTCAGTTGTCAGGAGGGTTACAAACAAAAATCTGTAGAATAGCTACACAGGTATGAACAACTATGTACTGTACAGACACTTTGTCATGAAACTTGTTAAGCACTGGCGAATTCACTTTCTCTCTCAAAAATCTAGACACAAATCTGCTGTGTGAAGCTAAGTGTGCTAAAGAAAGTATAAGTTAGTCCAAAGAAAAACATTAATACGCCAAATCATTATCATGCTAATTTTGGACACATACACATCATTTGTTTTTTAAGGGGGAATGAGGGAGGATTTCAACTTCAGCGTGTGTGTGTGTGTGTGTGTGTGTGTGTGTGTGTGTGTGTGTGTGTGTGTGTGTGTGTGTGTGTGTGTGTGTGTGTGTGTGAGAGAGAGAGAGAGAATGAGTGTATGCAGTAGCATCCCTCAGTGGTGCTTATGCTATCCCTATCAAGGTCATACAGCCAGCTGCAAATGACAATCACCGGCCATGAAAGGACTCCTGGGACTAGACCAGTGTGTGTGTGTGTGTGTGCGTGTGTGTGTGTGTGTGTGTGTGTGTGTGTGTGTGTGTGTGTGTGTGTGTGTGTGTGTGTGTGTGTGTGTGTGTGTGTGTGTGTGTGTGTGTGTGTCTGTGTGTGTGTGTGAGGGGAAGCGCTGAAGTGATGGTCTGATTGTGCCTGTGAATGTGAGTGCATTATTGTGCGTCAGTCCCTAAGAGTGCAAGGGTGTGTGTGTATGCGTATGTGTATGTGTATGTGTATGTGTATGTGTATGTGTGTGTGTGTGGGGGGGTGGGTGTGGGTGTGTGTGTGTGGGTGTGGGTGTGGGTGTGTACAAGCATGCCAGACTTGGGCCAGTGCTCTACCTGATTGTCCTGCCACTCCATCCTGCTAATAAGAGACAGGAGGCGAGGTGGAAAGGTCTGGTGAAGACACACACTGTTAGAACTGAAGCGAGTCCTCAGCACAGGACGGAGGGAAAACAATGGCGCTAATTAACTGGCTTTGATTGGTTATCCAGGCCTCCGCTAATCATTACCCATCAGCCACTGTA